GAGGAGAGGAGAGTCGAGGAGAGGAGAGGAGAGGAGAGGAGAGGAGAGGAGAGGAGAGATCTTCCTCCCTCTTCTCTTTCCTCCTCCCTCTCTCCTCTTCAGTTTCAGCAGCCAGAACACCGTCTACCAAACTCCCTTTTCCCCCACTGACCTGTCTTAAAATCTCTCTCTCTAAAAGTCTAAAAGACTCTCCAGCTGTCTTAGCCAGCTCCTGCCATCAGTTTAAACTTACTTCAATAGAACACTCAAATCTAAAGTGAAACACATTCTTTGGACAGAAGATATTTTCCATCCAGTTTTTTTGTCTACTTCCCTTTCTTTTTCAAAGTAATACAAACTTTCACTTGTCACAGCTTCTGAAGTTTTCTGCAGAGCTGTAACAGAGCAAAGCCAGACCCTAAAAGCAGATCAGGAACAAGCAGTAGGTGAATAAAGGAACAAACAGGAAGAGCTGGAGCTCCTTCAGCAAACACCAGCCACTCACACTCAGCTTCCCCCAGGTCAGACCTGACCCACAAACCAGCCCACCTGAGATGACCAGCAGGGGAAAATGGATTTGACAGGAAATCTGCAGAGCCATAACTAGGTCCTTTGGCTTTGCTTTTGAAAGGATCTGTTGGAGGAAACATCAGTACCTGAAACTCTCAGACTTTTCCTTCCCCCATTGCATCATAACAAACAGAAGACAATATCTCCATTGTTTACCAAGAGAAGAAGGAAATTTGGTCTCCAATGAAATGGCATCAGAGCAAAGGTTCTCTCTCAAAGTTAAAATCAAATGATCTGGAATAACCTGACCCATGTTTCCTACTCCAGCACAGGTTAACCAGCTCACTGCCTTCCCAGCATGTGTCCTCAGGCTTTCTGCCTCTGGCACAGGTCCAGTGGGGACCCCAAAGTGACCAAAGCAGAGTCCCCCCAACACCCCCCAGGAGCCAGCAGAGCAGAGCAGAGCTGCTGCCCCAGGGTTTGAACGTTCTCCCTAAGCACAGTCACAGACACACAAAATCCAGTGCTGCTCCCCAGCTGTAAACTCTGCATTTTCTCACCCTTTGTCCCTCTTCCAGCCACACACCCTGGGCTCTGTAGCTTTAGGGGCATTTTAGTCTGTGGCTTTTGTGGTCAAAACCAGCTGGGTGGAAACAATTTCTAAACAATTTCTGAAAGATTTATCTGGCACCCTAAGGGTCTCATGGAGAAGGTTCAAGTTGCAGTCAGTTTGGAGAAAACACTACTGAAGGAAGAAAGGCAGTAACAGAATAAAACTCAAGGGACTTCAGAAGATCCTACAGGTTTTATTTTCTACTCTAAGTCCTTTCCCAGAAAATGAGAAGTATTTACGTAAGATGATTTTGGTATCACTTTCTTTGTCACTTTGCCCTCGCTGTATACCACTATCAATAAGCCTATGCGATAAAAACAGATAAACAAAGCAAAACAAAAATCATGTGAGGGGATAAAGCAGCTCTTTCCTGAGTGAAGTTATAACTGCAGTTTGTATCCACAGCTCCAACAAGCCACTGCAGAGACAGCAACCAGCAGGACGTTGTGGTTGAGCTGAGAAATCTCTGCAAAAAATCCTGAATGTAAAGCACACTCTGGCTTTCCTCCACCTGCTCTGAAAAAAATCATTTCCACAGCAACCATTATAAGACATGGTTTTATATAGGTTATTTAAATTTAATTTTAATTAATTAATGAATATTTAATTTAAATTTAAAATTGGTAACATTTTTTTTTTTACTGCCTACAGCACATTAAGTAGAATGAAGTGTTTTACTGGTTTAACTTCTTCTATTTTAAAATCACTGTCTAAACTCAGCATTTGGTTCTGTTTTGTTTCATTCTGAACCCAGAGCCACAAGGTTGGATTGTTCATTAATCAAGCTGGACCTGGGGAAAGGCAAGGTCAGCTCCAGCTTGTGTGGAAGCTTCTCCCTGGAAAGCAAAGGAAAAGGGATTTCTCCTGCAACCCCTCTGACAAATTCTCCCTGATTTACAAACATGACAGGATGGCACTTTTGGAAAAGAAAATATTAGCAAGACATGCTAAGGAGCTATGAGGAAAAAAAAGAAGGTTAATGGATATGGGAAAAATTATTCAGAAATCACATGAACAGAAAAATGCTGTTAATACATTTATTCTGTTATTTCTGAGGTCACTCACACTTTTATATAAATGCACCACTTGAGGAAGCTGTTTGGTTTCTGCATTCCCATGAACACTGTGAGTTCACACAGAGCTCTCTGGAAGTTCTGTCTGGGCTACAGAAGTGATGTTATTTAGTTACAAAAATCACCAGCACCAGGTGTTCTTCCCTATGGAGAAAATGTGCAGCACACTGATAATTCCCTTCCTGCCACAGATTTTTTCAATGCCTGTTTCTGAATGTCTATTTCAAAACAAGAAAGCAAGGATTTGTAAGAGAACAGAGTGGAAGACAGGACCTTCTAAAGAAGAAGACTCAGAAGTACCTCAGAATCTCTTTGTGTCCAGGGAAGCCTTCATGTCTCGTCCCTTCCCTTCTCCAAGTGCCTGTACAGCCCTTCCAAATCCCAATTCATCCAGCTCCCCTTCCAGAGGGAATGAAGAAATCAGCGGGAGCGCAGAAAAAAGCTCTTTTTTGACTGGCCCCTCCCATTTTAAATGAGTCCCATAAGCAGCTGCATTTTCACTTTCATTTCTGGATCAGCAGTCACAGAACACAATTCTGTGCTGCTGTAACTGCAGGAACTGCAGTTGGAAAACGTGGAAAAAAACAATGGCATGCCCAAAAACTTGCCAGGAGCTGTTCAGAAGTACCTGGGCAGTCTCCCTGTCCCCCCAGGCTCTGCAGCAGCGATGTGAAGTGACTGGATTTGAGATCTGCTCCCCAGCCTGGCCATGCAAGGGCTCCCAGGGTCTGCTTTAAATTCAGGGCCAGTAAGCACAGGGCACAGAATGAGGGTAAGATCTGCTGCTTTCTTCTCTCTTTTTTTGGGTGGGTTTTTTATGGGGTGGCAAGGAGGCAAATCGAACTATCAAAGCAGGTTTTAACTCTCAGCAAATGCAGCAAAAAATTACAGCAGTGAAGTGACCTGAGAGTGCCTGACCCTCTCCTTTCCCCTCTTCCCTGCAACTCCAGAGCTCTCCACAGAGCCATAAGATTTTTTTACCTTGACTTGGCCCCCCCTGCCTTTGACACACAGAATAATCTATTTTTTTTGTCACCCTGTGCAAGCTGTCCCCCAGCCAGTCACAAGCAGCAGTCCCAGCCCTGGGCTGCCATAAACTGTAGCTGGATTTTAGAATAGCCATGCTTTCTCCCAGTCTGCAGTTCACCCTTTTCCTCTCTATTTTTATCACACAATCCACAGCCCAGATTGTCCAAACAAGGAGTTTCTGCTTGCAAATTTTGCTCTGGGAAAAAAAAAAAAAAAGAGTATTCTGGAAGGATTCACATGGTTGGTTTATGCTGAGCACTGCAGCACCTGTGCCCTTGCAGTGGAAGATGTGGAGGCTGACCCTTAGGGAAACTCAGTTTATTCAGCAGACATCATACAGAACTGATCAGCCTTCAATTTAATCCCTGTGCTGCACACCCTGTGCCCCTCCAGGGAATGAGGGTGGCCCCAGCTCAGGGCAGCAGCTGTGTGTTAGAAAAATGCTCCAAAACTGGGACATTTGTCTACCATTTCACTCTCATATTTCAGGCTCAGGACAGTAAATTGGAGACTTTTCCTCAAAAAGAAACCTGAACCACCACAACAACAAACACAGCCAAAACCAAACAAGCCAACAACAAAACCCCTTTGTTTCCCTTATCCTGTGCCCTTCCTTCAGGCAGGAAGGTGGTCCTGAAGGTGAGGGATCACCTCCAGCATGAAAATAAGGTTTCTACATCTCTAGAGGAGTTGAACGTTGATAGCAGTAAGGCATGAGGTGGGTAATCATTTCCAGGAATGAAGCACAAGGTGATGTAGACTCCTGCAGTCAGCCCAAGCCCCAGGTTGGGTTTTCCCTTGTGTCCCCCACCCTGGGTGTCGGCACAGTCTGTGTGGCAATGACTTCACAGCGGGGTTATGCTCCAAACAAAGGTGTGTGCCAGTCCCCAGCACTCCCCAGTGCCACCTGACACGGAATTCACACCCCACAACACCCCCTGGCAGCAGAGCCTCACCTGTGCCATGGGCTGGGCTGAGCTGCTCAGCCACGACTGCCTCAACAGGCTGGGACAGTGATGGCAATTAGCACAAGGAAACCAGCTGCACTTACAGAATGTAGCAGAAAAAATGCACTTTTGGGGATCCCAGAAGATTACTTGGTTTGAGGAATTGCTAACAGGACTGAACTGTAATAAATGGAATTGATTCGTGCTAACTAAATTGTAACTGTTATTAAAGTTAATATTAGAAGCAATCAAAAGAATCAGTGTTACAAGGCAGATGTACCACTTTACAGATGTTACATGTTAAAATTGACGTACAGGATGTAGTTTGGAAGATCAGTGATGTCCCAAGATGAAAACGGCCTTGAGATGGACAAAATTAGAACAACTTTAAGCATTGGGCCTAAAAATCATTAAATATCAGACTAGTTAGTGGACTTAGACAACACAACACTTAGTACGCACACACAAACCTGTGAGGTTATCCAGAGGACAACGAGGAAGAGGAGAAACCTTCACCAAAAGACCACGAAAAGAAGACTGGAGATCCCCTAACAACAAGTGAGGCAAGTGCCGTGAAGAAAAGTGACACAAAGTCAGAAAAATCAGAAATAGGAGGAAACTTACGAGAAACATTAATGAATATGTATAAGCATACAGTATATAAGTTTAGTTTGAAGTGCTTTGTTTTGTATGTGAGGCAGGGTGGGAAGCCCTCCCCATACCCCAGTCAGTTTTGCTTATGCTTTAATCATCCTTAATTACTGGCAAATTACATATATAAATTGTATTTTTTTTATTAAATTGTATTCTTTTACTAAATTGTATTCTTTTATACCAAATTACTATTCAATTCACTAAATTGTATTCATTTTTTATTAAACTGTCATTAACCCAAGGGACCTAGTTGTCAAAATTCTTATTTTATTTATAACAGAGCCCTTCACTCAAACCCAGCCAACCTAAATAGCAGCTGTTCTTGTGCAAGCTAGGGCAGCACTAAAGATATCGATATTCTGGGAATGTGACTCCAAATATTCATTTTCCTTGATTCATTTTCCACAGAAATGGTTAGTCTCCAAGAACAGGATTTGGTAACACCAAAACACACAAGAGTTGTTTCAGATTCACCTCTTCCTCAAAGAGACAGCATTGAGTTCCCCTGGCCCTGCTATAATGTGATTTTTCCATTTCAATGTTCTCTCTTAGTGATACCAATTCTTCAAACATCTGCTTTCTGCAAGCATAGGGCAGAAATTCAGGGTAACATATGCTGACTAATTTACAATTACCAGGAACAGGCAAAGATCTTCTGTACCAAAAAAACTTTTTGGAGAAGTTCTAGTTTGTACAGAATTTGCACTGCAGCCTTTGACTAGAAACTGTGTGATAAATTGGAAAAAAATAATTAATAATTCATGTCTTCAGTAAGGAGTTTCTCCTTCTCACTAATTAAATTGTATTTATATTGCAATAATCCCAGAAACTCTACTCCTGAACAAGGCTTCATTTCGACTTTCAAGAGAGAGAACCTCCAACATGAACTTTCTCCTATGGCTAAGGAATATTATATTTTGATCCATCCTGACAGCACAAAATCCCTTCTAGCTGAATTCAGAATTATCAGCTCAGAATGCCAATGTTGACTTTAACCAGAATTTTACCCAGAAACTCCACATGATAAATGAACCAGAAGATTTGAAAGTCAAATACTATGAACATAGAAGAACATCCATTTTTCTTAGCTATATGCATGATTACAAGAAGTGTTTTGGGCTTCTATTACTTTTTGTTTCAAGCAACTGTAATGTCTCATCTATCTTACTTCCTGTTCTGGGGAAATTAAAGTGATAAGGCAGCACAGGTCTCATCATTAAGGGCCTTTGTCCCTTTAGACTGTTGGTCTCAGTGTGATTTATAACTGTTGGCTTCCAAATCTCACTTATCTACAGAGCCTCCCCTTTCATGTCAGTGAGGAATTCCCCTGCTATCCTGATACATTAAGAAAATAAAGCATGAGATTATGGCTGGGACATAAAAAGGATAACTCAGGTGACACAAGAAAAACCAAAGCTGCTTTCTGGCTTCCGTTAAAAACTTACCCTACAAATTTGAGCATGCACATTCAGCTTTGCTCAGAAGAGTGAGAAGAGAGGCTGCTGTGAAAAAACACATCTCTTTTATCTTGGCACCAGTGAATTACTGCAGAAGGAATCAGCAGCTACCCGAGATGTTGTGGGCAGAAAAAGCTTGTGCTAGGTCTCTACTTCCAGGAGCTGTCCTGGAGGCAGGAGAGCGACCAAGAGCAGGAATGAGAAGAGATGAACTCCTTAACCCAAGGATAGATGGACTGCAGACAATTTTGATCTTTTGCTTAGAATCATAGAATCACTAAGGTTGGAAAAGCCCTCCAAAATTATGAAGTCCAGCATTTGACCAAACTTCTTTGACTTCAAGGCCATGGTCAGTAAGGGAGATGCAGCCACAGGGGTGAGAGCCTCCTTTGCTACAGGAGCTGCTCTTCAGTGTCCCATGGGGTAGCACAGCTCAGGGATCCCTTCATGCTCTGGGCACAATGTAAATCATAGAATCACAGAGTGGCTTGGGTTGGAAGGGAGCTTAGAGGTGTACCTAAAGATCTAGTCCCACCCCCTAGGGACTAGACCAGGTTGTCCAGAATCCCATCCAGCCTGGCCTTGGACACTTCCAGGGATGGGGCAGACACAGATTCTCAGGGAAACCTGTACCAGGGACTCACCACCCTCAGAGCAAAACAACTTCCTCCTAATCTCTCATCTAAAGCTCTTCCATGAGTCTGGAGCCATTCCCCCTTGCCCTGTCACTGCATATGCTTGTAAAAGGTCCCTCTCCATCTCCCTTGTGGGCTCCCTTTAGGTCTGGAATCCTCAGCCTCGTTAGCTCCCAGGGCTGCAGGGCCACGCAGGGCAGCTGTGCTGGGCTGGACCCCATTGCCAGGGCACAGACATTTCACCAGCTTTTCTTCTGATGAACATGGAAATGATCTGATATCCCCCATGTGCTGTACCCTGCTCCAGAAATCCTCAGAGTGCTGCATGAGTCATCATCATCTTGATACTATAACGCTTGCTCCAGCAAAACTGTCTGCCAGCACAATTGGATGGATGATGGATGATGGATGGATGGATGATGGATGGATGATGGATGGATGGATGGATGGATGGATGGATGGATGGATGGATGATGGATGGATGATGGATGATGGATGGATGATGGATGGATGATGGATGGATGGATGGATGATGGATGATGGATGGATGATGGATGATGGATGGATGATGGATGGATGATGGATGGATGATGGATGATGGATGATGGATGGATGGATGGATGATGGATGGATGGATGGATGGATGGAACAAATTAAGGTGATCTTGAACA